GGCGCGGCGACGGACCTGCCGTGGCACCGCGGGGTCACCCACCGTGTGCTGGGGCCGTCGGGCTCTGCCCTCGCGGGCCTGGCATTCTAGCTGGAGGCAGGCAGACAAGGTCGGTGAAAGAGATGACCGGAGAGTTAGGCGTGCTAAGCGGAAAAATGGGAGCTGTGAGCGGGAGGCGTGGGAGGGTCGCCGCTTTAAATAAGAGCGCCAGGACAGGCCTCCTGCGGAGGGGACTATGCTGTGAAGGCTCAGATAGTGACGTGTGAAGGACGTCGGATAATTATGAAATTAATTGTAATGAGTCAAAGTCATTTTTCATTTAAACTAATTCAGTTAATTCTAGCTTTAAAATGTTTTAATTTTAATTAGAGTTGACATTCAAAATTATACAATATAGTGATTAGACATTTGTATACCTTACGAAGCCATCCACTGATTAGCGACCTCTGGCACCACACAGTTTTTACAATATTATTGACCGTCTTCCCCACGCCAGTGGCTGTTTCGTAGCTGCCAATTTGTACTCTTAATCCCTTCACCGTTTTTACCGAGGCTCCCAGCCCCGCTCTCATTTGGCAGCCATCAGTTCATTCTAGCCTTTTTGAATTCATTCATAAGCTAAGCTTATAGCTAATAATGAGATCAGAATTCGTGCCATGGTAAATATAGTTTTTAGATTATTCAAGATGCTGGGGTAGGGGTAGGAGGAGGGCAATTTCTAGGTCAAATAACAGCACTGTAATGGCTGCTAGAGATTTTATGGAGAAGGGTAGATGTGCTGACCCTATGGGGTCAAATTCACATTTGTATGGCTTGATCGTCTGTATAAATATTTAGTTGTGTCAATCAGAATGTATAAATAAATGTGTTCACTAAACACAAATCATGACGCTAATAACATGTTAGTAAACAACGTCAACAGATTTATTACCCTATCTCAGGTTAGACCGAAACTGATTGGAAGTCAGTTGTACTATTTAGTACTAAAGGAACGTAACCCTCACCGACTACGAGGGCAGGCGAAGCCTGCGGACCACCCTAGCGGCCAAGGAAGCGAACACACTGTCACCTGACTAAACGTGAGACCAGCCAGTGCAGGGCACTCTCTGCAGCCTGACCTGAGCACTGCTGATTGGGTGGGACAGCCATGGGGGTCTCCGGGATGGCCCTCACCACAGGAGCCCTCATTCACAGCCCGGGGCAGCTCTGACAAAGCCACGCCCAAAGTTCTAAGTGCCATGGCTGTTGCCCCCACCCCACGTGCTCCTTTTGGGTTACAGTCAGTCTAGGAGCTTTGGGGCCTCCACGGCGACTGTGTGCTTCCCTGCTCTGGAACGTGACACCTGAAAGGTTGGTCCTCAGAGCCCCACCTTTGTCCAGGTGTGGGGGCACATGTCCCTGACTACAGCCTCCCCGTACTCACCGCACACTCCGGAAGTCAATGGAGATGTTCACTGCCCACCGAGAGTGAGATTGCATCAGTGCCAACGGGGCTATGCTAACTTATTCATTTCATGTCACTCAAGAGTCACTCTCAGCTTCACCCAAGATGCCAGCAGCTCTGGGGTGAGGTGAGACCGAAGTGGTCAGTGAAGGGCGCCTGCAGCTTCCCACGGCCATTGCGGCCGAGACTCAGCACAGGAATGAGGACAGCCACTCAGGGGCGGTCGTTTATTCTTTGGTTTGTAAATTATAGGCGTCCGCTGTACTGGGGTTCCTGTGTCGGGAGTAGGCGCCCCATTCGGCCACCTCCCGGATCGTGGTCTGCTCTTCGCTTCCGATGGTGTCGCCGATCAGGGTCTCGTTGGAGGCTGTAGTGATGGTGATCTGTGGGATGACGACCTTCTTGCTCGATTTTACCTTTACGTCAGGTTTCTCTAGAGGAAAGAAAACACCCGTGAAGTTAGTGAGTCTGTGGGGAATCTCTTCCGTAAAGCAGGCATCTGCGGTCGGCCCAGGAGTTCGATCCATGGTTCAGGAAAAAGAAGCGGGCCTGGCTGAAAGCAGTCCAACCGCTGGTGGGCAGCCACACCTCCCGTTAGACGTCTCCTTCCAGACAGCGAGCAGGAGAGCCACGGGGCCCAGGTAACAGGTGAGGGAGGGGGGACAGGGAGAGGCTGCGAAGGCAGGGCCTGCCTGCCCCACAGCTGAAGGTTCAGGGGCACAATTTGCAATGGGTTCAAGGTCAGAGTCAAGCTCTCTGTACAGAACTTATCTGTCAGAATGCCGCAGAGATAGGCTTTCCATTTTAATTTTTCCATTAGAGTTGACATTCAGTATTACTTTATGTTTCAGGGGTACAGCCTAGTGGTTAGACATTTTTATAACTTACAGAGTGGTCCCCCTAGTGGCCACCTGGCACCACAGTTATTACGGTGTTACTGGACTCATTCCGTGTTGCACTTCACATCCCTGCGACTTCTGCAGAGATGGACGTTTTGATTTTGGCCTCCACGTTGTCTTAAACTGGTTAAGGTTGCAAGGGATGCATCTAACTTGTGAAATGCTTAGTTTGTCAGATGTTACAAAAGACAAAAGCACAAGGTCCTGTCTGCTCCCCAGGGGTGAGTAGTTCAGGCCTCTGGTAAGCGTTGCCGACAGGACTGTCTGTGCACACGTTCACACGCATCGTCAGGCGCTCGGTCCCTAGCGGCTTACACTGCTCCTGCCGCTTTGCCTACTTAACACCTCGTGGACCCAGCCACACTGGGGAAAAGTTGTTGCCCTTCTGTGCCAGACGGCGTGCCGAGTCCTGGGCCATCGACAGTGAGTTAACGGCCCTCCGTGAGCTTCTGAAGTCTGTCCTCTGCTGGCCTGCGTTTCCCGGAGGCACAGGAAGGTGGTCACCTGCCCCAGGCTGGTGGCAGAGGGAGGTGCTGGGGTCTCGGCCAAAGGATCTGGAGTCCTGTCAACCTCCCACGCCACACCCACAGCCTCCCCCGTCTCACCCGCTGTGGAATGACGCCGGCCTGTGCTAGGCACGGGGACGCCCTCCTTTTTATTTTAATCATTAAGCCAAAAACTGTCATCGTATCGTACATTGAATTTAAATTGGGGAGCTCATTTCTTCACGTTGATTTATACAAGCTTTTTATATATTAGATTACTTAAAAGGTTATGGGCATTGAATTAAAAAGAACACATGTTGATTAGAAATTGCATATGGCAAGAGTCTCCTTGCAGACCGCCCAGGCGTGCAGCAGGGCTGGAGGCGCCCCATCACTCCGTGGAGTCCGAGCCTTCGAGCGGAGCACTTGGCTTGGCTCTGTTGCAGGAAGTGACACCCGACGGAGGAATCTGGACCCTCAGACAACTTCCTTAGAGGAAGGAGAATTTATTGCCAGCCGAGAGCGTGGGGTGAACACCAAGCGCGAGCTCCCCTCGGTTCGATTTCTAACACTTCATAGACCTCTGCACTGTCCCTGCAGGGGGCGTGATTCCTTTGTCTGAGGTTCTGCTGCACCTCGGGACTCAGGATGGGGATGGGGAGCTTCGGGGGGGTGCTGCGAGGGGGGAGGAATTTCCGGACCAGGGTCTTATCTATTTACAGGTCGTCTTGCCTTGTAGAACCCGTGACCTTGGCGTTATCAACACTGTTACAGGATTCTCGAACGGAGAGACGGGACTCCTAGGCCGTAAGCGGGGAGCAGCACTTACTGACGCCGGCACCGGCTGGCGGGTCCCTCTCCAAAGGCTGAGCCCCGGCTGTAGCGTAACAGGCAGCTTTACACGGGCTCGTTCTTCCCGCACAGCTGCAGAGGCAAGAGCATGAGCTGGTCGGCGAGCTGCGAATCGGCAGATGTGAGTGAGCAGCAGAGTCCTGGGCGGGGAGGGCGGTCAGGAAAGGCCTTGAACCGGCGGGGCCGGTCCTTTCTGCAGGCCTTTCCTTTGCGTTTTTCGGATGCCTCCTCCTCTCCGAGCTCAGCCGCACGGCCGTGCGCGGGGCACCTGCGTGCAGGGGCAGCCCGCGTCCCCTGCAGGCGGCGTGCTCCGAGCCCGAGCTCGCGGCTGGGGTTGCGCTTTCGCAACCAGCTCTGAGGAGCGTTGGTTCGGTCATCTCCAGTTTCGCCCTTTTCAAACAGTGCTGCCGTGCGCGTACTCGCGTTCCTGTCCCTACGCCCTGGTGAGCGGTTATCGCTGGGGAAGCTACTAGCAGGAAAATTTTGGTAAATGTTGTCGATTGTTTTCCACAAAGATTATATCGATTCGCATTTCTATTGAGGGGCTGTAACAGGACGGGTCTCCACTCCCTCCCCTGACCTCTGCCTCCATGGTCACCATCGCCTTCCCCGAGACCTCGCCCGGCCCGCGCCCGGCCCCAGGAGGCCAGCGCCTTCGCTCCCGCGGGAGCCAGTGGTGCTGACTTTCGGGGCGCACATCCCGGTCGCTCCGTGTTCTCTGCTCTGAGCTGCTCTCCCGTGAGCGCGTTGTACGGGTCCGGTGGCGCGTGCTGCAGGTGAGTCCCCGGCTTTCTCCTGCCCTTGGTGGCTCTTGCAGAGGGTCAGAGGCATCCGTCTTTTCCGTGTGGCTTTGAGTTTTTCAGACTGAAAGGAGGCATCGTGGACCCCAAACCCATGATGATGTTCACCCTTTACTACTTCTATGGTCTTGTTTTCTGTTTAACTTTCTGACTCACACTGAATTTTCAGAGTCAGGATTGAGGCAAAAATATCAAGCTTCTTGTATTCTCAACTGTCTGGTCCGTAGGCCTAGCACCACCTGGTGACTGTCCCGGCTCCCCATCCAACACAGTACCTACCCAGAGCCCCACGGGAACGGGACACGGCCCGCCCCGTCCTCTCTGCGTCAGGCACTTCCTCGCCAGAGGGCTCAGTCCCTGTCATACCTGTGCTTTCCCGCACGTTTTCTGCTAGTCCTACATTTTTGTTCTAGGGGAGCTGTAGAAGGATTTGGTTGTGTCCCCCAAACACCTGGGGTGTTCTCATTGGGGTTCTGTTGATTTCGTAAGTTAAGGTAGAGTTACCGTCTCACATGCAGGCTTCCCAGTCCAAAACAAGGCTGCTTTTATCTTCTTCAGAATTTTAAAGCTTCTCCGTTTATGAACATGAGTCCTTTTTGGGTCCCTGACACGTCACCCTGCCCTCGTCCCATCACCGTGTAACAGCGACCACACGTTTAGTGGCCAATGCGGAGCAGCACGTTTGTGATCTCAGGTCCCGCAGGTCGAGTCCAGGCTGACACCAGCTGTCCGCCGGGCCCTGCCGTCCTCCAGGCCGCCCGGGTTGTGGGGAAGAGCACGACTTTGTGGGTCCAGGGCTATCTGCAGGGGCGCTTGGAGCTCCTCTCGCAACATGGTAGGATTTGTTTTCAAAATTTTTTAAAAACTGCAATTGATATGGTGGCTTCTTCACAGCCACCTCACACTTCGCCTTTCCTGAAAGACCTCTCTGATCAGGTCAGGCTCACCCAGGATGATGTCCATTTCGATTACTCCAAAGCAGGGGATTACTAATGGGAGTGACGAGTGCCGTGCATCCTGTTCACAGGTCCCGCCCACACTCACGGCAGAGGTGGGGGCCCTCTGAGAACCCAGCCTCCCTCGTCCCCACGGCGCCTCCAGGCGGGAGTCACGCCTCTACCTCGCCGGGTCCGAGTTCTCCCGGCTTGCCTTGCGGCATTCTCCGGCCTCTCACTTATGCTGCGAATGTTCTCTGAGCTTCCCACTTGTTTTACATTTCTTTACAGAGGACTTGGGGAGAGACTGTACATTTTCGCGTAGTCAAATCCTTCACTGTTTCCTTTTCATGTCTTTGTTTTGAAGCTTAGGAAGGTGTCCCCCAATGAGGAATCAGATTAAAACTTACATCTTACTTTTTCGTAGTCACTTTTTATATTCATTGTCATCCATCTGGAATTTATCTGAGCATACCGGTTAGATCTAACTTACGTGCTCCCTTAAAATGGTAAGCAATGTTCCTAGTGTCATTTATTGTGTAACCCTTCCTTTTCCCACTTAACTTTTGGTGCCACTAATTTTATGTACATGCGCCTACATATATCCATATGAGGGGCTCATTCTCATCTATATTTTCAATTCCATTGGCCTGTTATTCTTGTTCTGCAACTACATGAATTTAATTACTATAATTTTTGATACATTTTAAAACTTTTATTTTGAAATGATAAATTCACAGAAAGTTGCAAAGGAGCACAGAGGGGTCGCGTGGACCCCGCCTGGTCTCCCCCAGTGGTAGCACCTTATAACTCCAGCACGAGGCTGATGCCAGGCACCGGCCCTGGCACAGTGTGTGTGCTGTGCCATCCTATTACCTGTGACCGTCACCAAGGTCGAGACACAGCTGTCCATCACCGCAAAGACCTGCTGCATGGCGCCACTGTACAGTCACCCCACCCCGCACCCTCCCCCCCTCGCCATCCCTAAACCCTGGCAACTCCTGGTCTGTTCTCCACCTCAGTGATTTTGTCATGTGGAGAATGTTATGTAGCGGGAATCATAAAGCATGTGACCTTTTGAAATTGGTCTTTTTCACTCAGCCTATTTTTAATAGCTGATAAATATTCCTTAAATTTCTCTTTTCAAAACTTTCTTGCAATTAAGCATACTCTGCCTTAAAACAGTAACTCATGGGAGTATTCAGACACATGGCGAGTATAACGAGTACCATATGTGCGTCATCCAATGTTTCCAATATTGGATCAATCAATATGTTATTTTGTTTTGCCTATCACTTGTTTTTCTTCAAGCAAATTTGAGACACATAATTTTAGCCATAAATAACACAGTATACACCTATCAGATAAGGATTTTTTTTAGCACAACCACAATGGCATTGTCACATCCAGGAAAATTACTATTCATCCTTTACTGTCATCTAATACTCAACGTGATTCTCTCAAGAGTGACTTTGCTGGGTCCACACACTGCATTCGGTTTACAGTCTCTCAAGCCTTGTTATAAAAGTCCTCTCTGCTATGGACTGAATATCTGTCCCCCATCCCCCTATTCACATATCGAAGGCCTGACCTCCAGGTGTTCAGAGGCGGGGCCTCTGGGAGGTTAGGTTTAGATGCAGTCACCACAGTGCAGGCGCCGTGGTGGGATCAGCACCTTTTGAGAGGAGGGGAGACCACAGTCCTCTTTTCTTTGGCCACTTGAGGACACAGCAATTAAACGACCAGGGAGGGTCCTCGCAGGAGCCCAATCGGTGGCACCAGGTCGCGGGACTCCCAGCCTCCAGAATTATGAGATGTCTGTCTAAGCCCCCAAGCCGGGGTGTTTTGTTATAGCAGCTGGGACTGAGACGCCCTCCTTTTTTCTGTTACTCGTAGAAACACTGGGGTCATTTTTTTCAGAATTTCCAGCATTTTGGAATTGGCTGACTGCGATCTTGTGGCACGTTAGCCTGCATAATGCGCACGCTTGTGGCTTTCCTGTACATACAGAAGTGTACGTACAGGAATACGTACAGGAATAGAGCAGTCTGTCCATCACACAGCTGCCAGGTAACTCGATGGCAGACAGCATCTTGGCTGCGGCACGCACCCTCGGTTCTCGTCCCCACCGCTGCGTGACGGCAACTGCGAACCTCCGCAGCCTGTGACCAGCATTGTTTTCTCAGAACTTTATGGGTTGGGAATTCAGGATGGGTTCGACTGGGCGGTGGTCACTGTTTTCCCAGGTGACTGCAGTAGGGTGTTGTCTGGGGCTACAGTCACCTGAGGCTCAGCTGGGCCGGACACGCAAGACACAGGTGCTGGCCACTCCAGGGCTGGTAACTCACGAGCCTGGGCCCCAGGCTGGAAGGGTGCAGAGGTCAGGACACAGCCACCAGGGGGCAGCTCAGGGTTCCAGTGAGCCAGGCAGGACGGCGCCACCTGTCAGGGCCCAGCGCCACATTCTTTTGGTTACAAGAGATGTCAAGCCACAGGTGCTGGCCACTCCACAGAGATTTAAGGAGGGGGCAGAGGCCATCCCCCCAGGTGGGAGGAGGGTCAAGGACACACCATCGAACACGTGGGACAGGAGCGTGCCCGTCCTTGGGAAACACGTCAGCCCCACGCACACTCCCCGCCTGCAGCGAACCTCAGGTACTTTCCGCACCCATCACACCCATTTCATCCGAAACAACTGGGGTGCAGCTCCACGGGACAAGCGCCTGCGAAGATCTCGTGCCTCTTTCCAGGCACACTTCACACAAGATAAAACGCAGTTAGGTGCCCGGCTGGGTGAGTGTTCACAACAGCACACACGTGTGTAACCACCCAGCACAGCGCCGACCCTGCCACCCCCACACAGATCCCGCAGGCCCAGTGCCGCGGTCACCCTCCGATCTCTGCACCACGGCAGTAAGCTTACTTTCAACACTTGTACCGTGCACAGAATTCCTGGCTTGTTGGGTCTCTCCATGTCCCTAAAGCTTTTACAATATTAGGTTAATGAAAGAAACTTTGACTTCCCAAAGATCTAACTTGGAAATTCCTCAGCTTTAAAACACAGATGTGAAAGAGAAGACCCTCCCCCCGCACCGCCCGGTTCAGACGTCCTTCCTGGCAGACTGTCTTTCTTCACGGTGGATTCCTGGACGCCGTCCTCTGCAAGGCCGAGAGAGACCAGACCCTCGCCGCGTTCCCTGGAGTCTTTTCTGGGTTTGCTCAGTCTCTGTGCAGCATGTAACACTGCCCCTGAGTTCGTCTTTCCTTTCTAACAGCTTTATTGCATTATAATTTACGTGCCATAAAATGCACCTGTTTAGAGCATACAGTTCAATGACTTTTGATGAACTCTCAGAGTTGGGCAGCGGGTTTCAGGAACATTCCCATCACCCTCAAAGAACTCTTGTGCCTGTTTGCAGCCAATCCCCGTTCTCACCCTTAGCCCGGATTCCCTCTATATAAACGTGCCTTTTCTGGACATTTCGTATAAATGGAATAATAATGCACGTGGTCTTTACTCATGGCTTCTTTTATACAGTATCAAGCTTTGAAGTGTCCCTGGTGTAGCACGTGTCAGCGGCTTGTCCCTTGTTATTGCTGAGATGCTCCATCATATGGCAAAAACACATGCTCCACCTCCTTTCCTGAAACTCCATCCTCACCCTTGCTCTGATCTTGCCCCTCTGTATCGTCTTCTCTCCACCCTTCTAAAATGACAGTGTGACAGACACTGTTGGTGCCTTTGCAACGGGAAGTCCCCTGCCCGCACCTCCCCTGCTGGCAGAGGCTCAGCCCTGGGATTTGCAGACGAGCATCCTGGAGACGGCGAGCACGTACTACTGCCACTGCGGCTCAGGGACCAGACGCAGTCCTGTCGGCTGTGACATAACCTGGGGACCATGGATACCGAGGGTGGCAAAGTGTAGACGCACACAGACCCTCTTAGACATCAAACACCTCAGTACAGCCACGTCTCCTTGGCTTTTCTGTGACTTGCAGCCCAAAGCCTCCCGCCTAGGGCTCCAGCCCTTCCTGTAGGCTTCCGCCCTCCAGCGAGGGCCCCTAAGTTGGGACTGGAAATCCGGGCCCTGCCCCCACGCCCAACACGCTCGTTTCAGACTGCTTCCTGCCCCTCACGGCTCCACAGATGCCTCCACCTGCACCGCCCGTGCCCAGGTCCTCGCCCTGCCAGGCCCCTGCCTCCTGTCTTCCTTCCTCGTCTGACCCACCAACTATCAGCCTCGTGGTCACTGAACCCCACCCTTCTGGCTCCCCTGTTTCCCCCAAAGCTCAGCAGACAGCAGGTTCCACTGCTTTTCCCTCCTGGGTCCTTGCAATTCCTACTGCCACCGCCTCATTAGTTCCTGCTTAGTAACAGCAACGGGCCTACGCGGTCCCGTCGCAGCCTGGACAGCCTCTGCTCTGGAGACAGGAAGATTTTTCCAAGGCGCAGAGCCCATCACAGCTGCCTTACTGTAGTTAACAGTTGCATTTCCACGACCCACACAACATAACTAATAAAAGACTTTGTATTCTGGCTGCTTCTGTGGCCTCGCGAGCCGCTCCCAGGGGAAGGTCTGGCCACACTGGGCCGTTACAAAGTGAATACATTTGTCAAACTGTGTCACCCCTTGTCCCCTGTGCCCAGGCAGAGAGCTCCTGCGTCCCTTCTCCCACGGCACTCCAGAACGGGGCGGCCTCCCAAGCTTCTGTTGCAGTCTTAGGATGTTAAAGGAAGGACGGTGGTGCCAAAACACGTCCCCGTCTGGGACAACGGCGGACACAGTTTATGCCTGTGCACCGCTAATCCCCTCTGGACTACTGGAGATGCACCTATCACTTGGCAACTTACCTAAACCTTTACTAACCTGATATTTCCCACCTGGAGTTCTGGGACGTCACCTTCTATGTGAAGGTCATGAAACCCGTCCATCGTAAGGTCGTGCCCCCTGCTCTCAGCACCCCTTTGCTTCAGCCCTGTTCACCCCGCCCCCAAGCTCCTTGAAGCTGCAACCTCCATTGCCCGCTCCGGGCGTGGCCTACCTTCGACTTCGAACGAAGGCCGCCGCTGCTGGGCTGCACCTCTCCTCCAAGAGAAGCCCTCCGCAGGCTTAGTGTCTGGAGGCCTCTCAGACTCTTGGGGATGCCTGTCCATCGACCTTTGCTTAGGCTTTGGGACTGGACAGGTGCACCCCTTCTTTTGCTCTTCACCTGGAACATATGGATAATCAATTAGACCAACAATTTATCGAATCTCGGGCACTGGATCCATCTTTCGTTTGCCTGCTTTGGTTCAGAATGAAATGACAGCTTGAAAGGCTTGGGTCACTCCATTTCCCTAAACACGGATATGTCCACGGACGGAAAAGTCCTGAGGCACTGTCATCGGAGAGGGCTCGGCGCAGGAGGCGTGTGCAGGGGCGGGGCGCCCGGCACCCCCAAGCCCCTCGCGGGCGCGCACCCCGCCGGCGGCGCGGCGGCCCTTTACCTTTCCCGGGTCTGGGTTTGCTTCTGCAAAGCCCCATAGGTGGGCCCAGCCCCGCCGGCTCGG